TATCCCAAAATTCAAAACCCTACCACAGGACAGACCAGCGTGTAATATAGTTATGAATGGTCCCTCCTGTGCATACAGCTTTTGCTTACGAGTGTTGCAGTATTCTGCTAGAATTTTAAGAGGCGCTTAATTTTAACTATGGTTTTATTAAGTCTATTCAACTGGAGTTCAAAATAGGTGTGCATTAAACAAACCACCTTAAGAGTCATATGCTTGTTGGGTTCAAACAAAACAACGCTGTGGATAATCAAAACCTGGAGCAAATGCTTTTCAACTCCCCCTTGCAGTTACAGAGCGGGGACGGGAGCCTAGGCTCATCTCTACCATGATAACAGCTTATCACAATGTCTGGATATAGCTAGAGGGAGGAAGCAAGTGAGATACGCATGTAATGGAGGGTGATCTCAGCAAGCACAGTTTTCCAGACATAATTATGGAGAAATAGTTTGGTTTGGCTTAAGCTGGTGACAAAGACTGAGGAAATAAAGTCAAAGGCTTCTGGGGAAAGGAATGTTTTAACATCAGATATGAAGGAGGGAAAACAGCACACAACTCTTCTAGGAGACAGCTTTCAGGCATGGGGCAACAAGAGAATGGCTTGATTTCAAGAAAGCTTTGGCACAAAATGTTTAATAGATTGAGCCTGCAAAAATCTGCTGAATCTGTTCGACTATATATGTAGCCACCCAGAGACTGGGTAGAGTGGGCGGCATTAAGTTAAATAAATAAATAAATGTTACACAGGAACTTATCAATATTGATACCATAACATGTTAACAACCTATGCCACGTATTTTCTTCAAAGAACAGGACAGCATACTGGGCATAAAGTCAGCCAGTGTACAGTACTTTATATTCATGGGATATGGATGTGAAGCAAAATCACAAGAAGTGCCACAGCTTGCAAAACTGGAAGCCAAACACACAGAGATTACAAGAAAAATCAAATGAAACAGGCAGACAAGTGAAATATAAAGTGTTTCAGGTATTCCAGCAAGTAAGTCTCCCAAAATCCTGGGCAATGCTGTGAAGCATCTGTCAGAAGAATTAGATCCAGTAAGAAGCAACAGCTCAGAGAAGGCCTAAGGCTTCCCGTTTTCTCCGCAGTTTGGCAAACCATAGGACTGACACACAGCCCAAGTTTAATATCTACTTCTCCATGCAACACCTCTGAGGAGAGAATGTGGATACATCCACAGTCAGAGCTTCCAATTTGAAGCAGTTTAAAAACATTTCACACGATTGCTTGCAGGAGACCATTGAGAAAGTTTTCTGAAAGGGTTTGGGATTTTTTTCCTGCTTTAACGGAATACATATGTAACTACTGTAAATGTCTCTGTATTAAACAGAGTTCAAGAAGACAAGCACACCTGGGAACAGTTACTGTATTGCTTTTCTGGCATACAAGTTACTGGTGTTGATTGGGCTCTGTTATGGCTAGGAAACAACCAGATACAAACACTGCCTGCTCCTGGCTCCTCCACCCATTCTCGCTAACTGTGGAAAGCATATGTCTCATGTAACTGAAGCCTCAGCAGACACTGGTCTTTCTCAAGAGTTCCCAAGCAACTAGAATGGGCAGTATTTGAGAAACTGACCGAGAGCAGCAGGTTGCACCTGTAGGCATGCAGTGCATGTCTCTGAGCAGCCATTTGAAGAACCACGATATGTAACATAGCAACCTTAATGGACCAAGGAAGGGCCACACAATCTAGCATCCTGTTTAAATAGAGACAAGGCATATGGCTTTGGGAATTTCAATGCCAAGGTACTGAAAAGACTGTCCTCAGTACCTCTTCCTTGGGTATATTTTTTCCAAACACTTAAGTTCCACCCAGCTATCTTAGCTAACAAACCATATCCTACAGTAACTTGTCTCAAACTTTTAAAAAAGCTGTCAAAATACCAATAGCAAACCATCACCAAAAGTTTTACTACAGCATTCCATAACGTAATGAACCCCAGACTTGTAAACAAGCCTGCGGAGGTTTGTAAACAGTGCAAAACCTAACTAGCCCACAATGGGACTATTAGGCTGTTAAGCAGAGAAACAGTCCTTTAGCCTCTTATGCTAATTATAAAAGGTCACTTCTGCTAATTGAGGGCACATCTGGACTGGCCCTTATGGTGTGAGTTTGTGTGGTCAAAATAGGGCTGCTTGAGGTCGGAGGGAAAAGCAATATGGCATTTGGTGCTATCTTCAGATCCAAATGATATACTGGGATCTAGCAACCCTTTGGATACTTCTGCTGTTACTATTCTATGGAGGAGCAGGGGAAGTGAAATTATTATTTTTGCTTGTGCAAGGCTAGTGCTGATGCACTAAATCACTTACATTAAATTATTTTTTTCTTTGTCTTGTTATGGTGCCAATCCAGAAACTGCCCACAGAAAAAGGCAAATATATTTTTAAAAGTTTAATCTAAATGATTTAGTACAACAACAATGCTCTAGCATAGTAAAAAAATTCTCTTGCTCCACCACAGAAGAGCAAGGGAAGAGTTCAAATTGTCCAAATCCTGAAGTGAGTCACTTATAAAGCCATTTCACAACACTAGAAACTGACATCAGAAGGATCCCTGAAAGTTTTGTCAGCTACAAGGCTCAATTCTGGTCCATGCCCAGAGATCAAATGTGCTTTAGAATAAACTAGACTAGAGCATACTAACCGACATCAAAAAAGTAGAAGTCCCTTACAAGGACTCAAAAACGTGTGGGTTGGGATGCTCTGGGGGCAAATTGATCCACTTTAGTGATTATATCATGTGGTCTATGGAAAAAAGAGCGAATCTATCTGGCCCTGCAACACACAAAATAGTGGGACAAACACCTGTCTGAACGAGCCCTGAGCTGCTGAAGGAGAGATGGACCATTCCATTTCTGGTCCTATAGTCCACTGCATTTATTTGCTGAAGAAAAAGAGACTTTTCTTCTTCCATGATTGGAAGAAAAATCAAGCAGCAAGCTGAGGACATATCAAGCTACCTGCTCTTTCCCTATCAGCTTGCTTGTTTGCATGGAATGTTGTGCAAATTGTTAAACACAATGTTAAATTATGTATGGAGACATAACACTTCCCATTAATAAATCTGTCCTGAATCTGTACCAAGGGACAACTGAGTCTGTGCAGGAAACATTTCTACCCTTATGCTTTTCTTCCTTAAAATAATCACTTTAATTTAGGAGGAAACCACACAAGGATGTACTAAGGCACTGCCTACACCACCCACCATGGGGGGAAAAAAAACAGCTAGATCACATAACTGTTCTAGCTGTCATCTTCCATTTGGGTATAAGAGTTTTAAATCCCTCAGTGCCTGCATCCAATAACTGACAATTCACAATCTAGCAGTCATGAAGAGCCTGTGGATTAATGCCAGATTTTTCAAAAGTCATCCTTCCAAAACACAGACACATATATTCCATGAAGAAACTTAATGGTTCAAAGCTCACCCACACCCAGCTGCTCTTACCAGGAAAAAATACTGTCCTTTATCACAATCCTATGGCACAATTAACCCCATTCGAAATTCCCATTCTGCCCCTTTTCTGGAACCCACAACAAAAAACACCTTTTTGCATCCTAGCAACTCTATCCAAAATTCACCTCCTCTGCTCTCCTTCTGTCAAGCTTGTCCTTTCATGCCACTCCGTCTCTGAGTCAATCTGGCAATGCATAAGTCAAGAAAACCAGATGCTAAGATGAATTTTAAGTTTCCGTCCTTTTCCTAATTGCTGGCAGTTATTTATGCAGCACAGCACCTGCTATAAGATCCACTTTCTTCTTTTAATATCCCGTATTTTCTAGCTCTTCGTAACTCATGATTTACTTTTCATAATCCTTCTCATCTCCATTTTATGCACCAGTTTGCACTCCTATTTCATCACACCAAACTCCTCATCACGTTCATCTCAAAGTTACTTCTTAAGCACTGCAGACTACGGTTTCTAAAGTTATTCACAACCTATTTCTCATTACTTCAACCCAAACTAGGGCTCCCACTAACTTAGCCCAAGGGAAACCATTTCACGGCATGCGAGAGTAGACAATATCTTTTATTGGATCTCTAAAAAATGAGTGGCTAAGGCTTCTGTTACAATGCAGATTTGAAAGCACCTACAGTTCTCCAAAGCCCTGTCTTTCACAAGAAAGCCTTGCCCTCGAGTGACATTTTTAAAAATTCCTCTGGATCATTTCTTGATACACTGCAAGGATAGTCAGAGGCACATTTTTTTTAAGAATTGAGAAAACATTATTTTTAACTAGACCCAGACAGAATCAAAAGGAAAGTTCTGCAGAGCCCAGAAGCTTCCCAGGTCATCCTAGCCTCCTGACACAGCACTTCTAAGGCTGCAGGCCAGTCTCGCCTGAGCCGAGCGAGACTTATTTCCAAGTAAATCATCACCACCATCCTCTTAGAACTGCAGAGGGACCCTATGGACCATGCAGTCCAACCCCCTTTCAAAAGAGGCCCAGTGGCGGCGGGGGTGGGAAATCGAACCCGCCACCTCGGGCTCCGCAGCCCAAGACTTAAAACCACTGAGCTCTCCAACCGTTCCTGTCACAACTGCGCCCATCAGCCAGAGGAGATGAAAAGAGCCGCCGCCGGCCTACAAGCGAGTAGGCACACCCGGGAGGGCAGCGACCTGGATCCCCAAACCCCTTCCTCGCGAGGAACAACGAGGAAGCGTCGAGCGAGTGGGCAGCCGAGAAGCGCCTCTCTACCCCCTTGGGGGAAAAATGCTGCCATAATTAGGTTTATGAGGAGAAGTAGGGCAGCGGCTCCCGCAGTCCCTTCGCTCCTCGCTTCTGCCTCCCCTTTCCTTCCCCCCCACACCATTCAGACGTGCCTCATGTCGAACGCGCAAGCCGCCCGCCTCCCCTTCGACTCACCTCAGCCCAGTCCGAACCACCTCAGGCAGCCCAACCGGTCACTTTTCTGTCTCACGGAGTCCCCCCAAGGCGCTCCCCGCCCACCGACCCGCTCCCGGCAACTCACCTCAGACCGCCTCGCCTCCTCCCGGCTGCTCCACTTCCGCCTGGAGACGCCCAGCAACCCTCACCGCTCCACTTCCGGCCCGACACCGGAAATACGCTCGAGCGAGCCAGCGAGGGAGGGAGAGAGTGGGGGAGGGAAAAGAGAGCCGCTCCAGCAGGGAGCCACGCCTCCTTCGGGCGGGTTCAGGGCGAGGCGGGTGGGGATTGGGCGAGAGGCGCGGAGCCCGGAGGAGCGGACCCGAGAAAGGAAAAGAGGCGGGGCTTCCCCAAAGAGGCGGGGCGGCGTTTGAAAAAAAAAAGATGATGGACAGGTACCCGAAACCTTGGGAGGGGGAGAAGTTCAAAGGCGGGAAAGCTGAGGGAAAGAGCTCGCCCTTAATGGCGGTTTCCTTTCTTGTCCTCTTAAGATGGGCAGGACAGTCAGAAATGGGAGAAGCGCAGCCCTTTTGAGGGAATTTCTGCCTGTCCTACAGAATGTAGAGACCTCTGGGTAGAGTGGGCGGCA